GGGGCAATGTCAGTTAATTTGTGTAGTGTTAATACTGTGAAAATACCCTCTCGTATCTCCTATATTTCTTTAACGATGATAATTGAATGACACTCTTATCACTGTAAATTGACGTTTGCCGTTTTCAGTTAGGCCTACCAATTCAATTAAATTATTAAACAAAAATTGTAAATTAACGGCTACAATTCAAATTTAATTTTGATTAAGGTGACAATATATAATGATGTTGTTTGACGTCTGCTCTGGAAAATTATCAATGATCTTATTACTGAAATGAATATTTACAAAAACATACTTGAAGTTTTCTGATCAAGAGTCAAGAAGATAAATGGAAGTTTTTATTATACCCGTACTTTCTAAAGAAAGTTCGGGTGTATTGTTGTTACTCATGTCCGTCTGTCGTCCGTACGTCCGTCCGTCCGTCTGTCTTACTTTTCTTCCCTGAACTCCTCTTACATTTTACACAGTAGCCTAATCATATTTTGGGAGATGGTTGGTGGTGTCATGTAGATGTGCAGTAAGGTTTCGGAAATTTGATTTTGCCCCAGGGGGTCAAATGGGGGTCAAAAAAGGACGTTTTTTATGCAAAAAGCCCCGTCTTACCTGAACCTCTTCTTACATTTTACACAGTAGCCTAATCATCTTTTGGGAGATGGTTGGTAGTGTCATGTAGATGTGCAGTAAGGTTTTGGAATGTTGATTTTGCCCCGGGGGGACTAATTGGGGTCGAAAAATGATGTTTTAAAAATGTCTTAAATCATTTCTTTAACACTAAGCGAAATACAAATTAAAAATGATGGAGGTCAAGGTCACAGAATGTGCAAAGTGAAGTTTCTGATGCAGTTGAGTAGCTTCACTAATTCATATCACGATATTATGTTTGATAAAAATATCTTGAATGATTTAATGAAACTGAGCTTAATTCTTTTTCTAAAAAAAGAGAGGTCAAAGGAAAGGTTGGGGCCAAAATGTTGTTGCAGTTGAAAAGCTTACATCAGTATGAATTTACTATTAGCATATGAAGTTTGAAAAAAAACTATAATTAATGGTTTATTTAAAACTTAGATAAACACATATTTTAAAAAGTGAGGTCAAGGTCAAAAGAAAATTCAAGGTTAAAATAAGTTGATGTATTAATAGCTCTCAGCAGTATGTATCAGCATATGGAGTTTGATAAATATATCTAGAATTGTTTATTCAAAACTGATCTAGACATTAATTTTAGAAAAGTGAGGTCAAGGTCACAGGAAAGGTCAAGGTAAAAAAGAGTGAAGCATTGTAAAGCGCTTAAATCAGTATTGTCATGTGAAGTTTCATTACACAACTTGAATGGTTTCTTTGAAATAAAGCTAAACACTAATTTAAAGAAAAGTTAAGTGAAGGTCAAAGGAAAGGTCAAAGTCAAAAAATATTGCTGCAGTTGGATATTTACATCAGTATGCTTCAACATATGAACTTTGATAAAAATATCTAGAAAGTTTCTTTGAGCCCGATGGAAAGACAGATGGAAGGGTGGAGGACGGACATGACAAATCTATACATGAATTCTCATCATGGTGTGGCATAAAAACTTGAATCTACATTATATGAGGATGTTTCCATCTATCAAGATTATACAAGCAAATTCAAAGAATTGTGGTCCTTTGCTTTCTGTGTTTTAGTGAATGGGATGCCATAATTTATGGCAGATTGTGTGTCAAATATGCACCCCTATCATATATCAATTTTTGAAAATTGGGTCAAAGGGGAAAAATCATAGCATGCTCTGAAACATTTTGTTGCAGGTAATGTACATGTCAAATATAAAAGTCCTATCTCTTTTGAATCAAAAGTTATATATACAATATAATATTTTTGAAAAGTAGGTTAAACTTTTAGGTCAAGGTCACAGAGTCAAAAGTCATGATATATTTAGAAACGTCTTTTCACATGTAATAAACATGTATAATTTGAATGCCCTTTCTTTTCTCTTTCAAAATGATCAATTTAAAATGTTATTTTTTGGAAAGTAGGTAAAACTTTAAGGTCAAGGTCTAACTTGGGTTAAAAATCATAGTTTATTCAGAAAGTTTTGTGGTTATGTACATGTGAAATATGAAAGCACTATCTCTTATTATTCAAAAGTTATGACCAAGGTTAAATTTATTGTGACAGATGCACATACAAGCTGTCAAAAGATGGACAGACTGACAGACAAATGAGATTTAATGTCCCCTCCCTTTCCCCAAAAAGGCGGACAATAATGCCCTTGCTGTTCTTGAGAAGAAGATTTATGATGGAAAAAATCCCCTGTATATTTCTTAATGCAAATCAATATTGTGTTTTTATGTTATTTTGTTTGTTGTTAAACATCCCTCTCAGGAATTTTTCACTCATATGTAGACACCACCACTTGAAAAATAATGAGGACAAATTAGATTTGAGATCAACATTCATTTTAGGAGTTTTCAACCATTAAGACGTAAAGAAATATTAACTCGATCCTTCCCCTCTCCCCTTCCCAGACCCCTGTTTGTTCATGTATGCAAACTACTACTTGTTTTTACATTTTAAAAAAATATGTTTATACAAATAGTTTAATGTGGTCCATCTCTGAATGATTTTCATTCCTAATTCTAGGAAGATAGGTTGACACAAATTCATGAATAAAATGTCAAGTAATCTTATCATTGATTCACTTTTATTTAATTTAATTTAATCATATTGTGAACATTTCCAGCTCATTAGGAGAGTGGGGATGACCTCTAGGGGTTCATAACCTTTATACCATTAAATTTACATAACATAATAACACAAGTAACAAAATTATGTAGTCAAATGGAAAAAGTTTCCTACTATTTAGGAGTCACATGATCATTTGTCATTACAGGGACAGGGAAGTGGATTGGGAGATCGCCCCTCAACCCCCCCCCTCCCCCCCCCCCCCGGAATTTGCAGGACTATAATATATACTGGAAGAAATAAAAATGACTTTGGATTCCCTAAGTGTCCCTCCACTCTGGAAAACAGACCCAACCATAACTTCTTCTTTTTTTTGCTTCTCAGGAAATTCTGGTGAGGACCCCCCCCCCCCCCTCCATCCCAGAAAAAAAAATCTGGATCTTGTAACTGAATGTAACGTTGATAACGGGGGATAACTCTTCAGAATGTGAAATTCGTCTATTGTAGCATCGGATGACCTTTGATCCTTTAAACTTGAACCTAACCGTTTGCATTTCAGACTATTTTACCCAAATCTATACCAAAACTTGTACTTACCGATTGTCATTATTTAGGCCCTGTCGTCTTCATGAAATATGATCCAATAAAAACACAAAATGAAATAATTCCTACTGACATATATGCAATGATGCACACTAGTAGCCTACTGCACGTGCAGTGAAATCTAAAATGATAATGCCAATGGTAAAACTAGTACTTAAGTTGGGTACGTGACGCAAGCCCAATGTGATGCAGGTGTTCAGATACATGTATAGTGCAAGAACAAATTGAAAATTATCATTTACAAAAGATGATTTATTTTAACTTTGCCATCTAGGCCTATTTCCAAAAACAGGCAAATAAGGTGTGTTTGTGTGTGTGTGTGTTGATGGGAGAGGGGTGGAGGTTGACTTATATGGCAGCTTTCAAGAAGTTTCTGCCTAATCAAATATAAATAAACTTTGCACATATTGAAAAATTCATTAAAAAACGCTTTACACTAATTTGAATAATATCATTTTTTGTCAATCTATATTAGAAAATAGATTTAAAAAGTTCCAATTACCAGTATGTGCCAAAAATTAATACCCCCCCACCCCCCCCCCCCCCCTTTATCAAACCTAATAAACATCATTGTTTAATTTCCGACTGGTAATCAATTATGAATATGAAATACCAATAAGATGGAGTCCCATGGGTTACATGGTCACTAGCTGCAGATCTGTAGCGTTATGGTTTTATATATTAGTCTTTGACCGATCCTGAAATGCAAAAAAGGTGCAATTTACGGCGCAATATTTTTTGCGCACTTCTGGGGAGAATTTCTCCACTTTCCAGCATCGGTTAATTTACTACCTTTCACTCCCTTATTCTAGGCACATTGTTTAACTAATCTGTATATTTTATCCATCTCCAATCCTTTTATAGTCGGCTCTACACGTGATAAACTCGCTTGATTAAAATTATTTGTTAGATTGCTGAAAATTCACATCAAGCGTGTTTATTGCCTGTAGAGATGACTATAAATGGCTTGGAGGTGGACAAAATATACATATTGCCTACAGAATGTGTCTAAAATTAGGGAGTGAAAGGTAGTTGATTGACCAATGCTAGAAAGTGGAGAAAAACTGCCCAAAAGTTCGCAAAAATTATTGCGCCGTAAATTGCACCTTTTTGCATATGGGGATCTGTAGCGTTATGGTCAAGGACAAATATATAAAACCATAACGCTGCAGATCTGCAGCTACATGGTCACCTGAGCATATTATGCTCAATTTGATGAATACATGTATTATGTAAATTATTGAATTATATTGACTTATTCCTTGGTAAAGCCCAATATGAGGAAGTGTGCATTTAGAGGCAAACACCTTAGTGCGGGTATTACTGTCTCATGACAGCATCTAATTTTTTTTTATTTCTATCGTTTTTAATAGGGACATATATACCCCTTGGGGTCATGATGTAAACAAACTTAATTCTACACTAAACGAGAATGCTTCCATATAACTTTTATCGCTCTGCTGTTATTGAGAAGACTTTTTAAAAGATTTTTTTTCTATGTAATCCTACTTAATCACCCATTATAGCCCAATCCTTGCCCCAGGGGTCATAATTTGAACAAATTTCCACACTACCTGAGAATGCTTCTATATATGACTTCTTCTTGGAGGTGAAAGGCAGACGGACAGCAAGACTTAGAGACAGATTGATAAGTTTTTTTTTTCTAATTTAACACCCACAAAAATACCCCTTAAAGCAAAAACTTCGTTATCAAGTGTATAAAAATTTAATCCAAGAATCACATAATTTTTGTTTCTGTATGTTTTAGCACCGGTATAGAATAATGATTTGCTACACAAAATTTTCTTTACAATTCTAACTCTGAAATTAATCAGCTTGATAAAGGTTCACTTTACAGTCTAATTCAAATAACCACTCATTATATACATTATATATACAAGTATCTACAATAATGTGCCTTCAAATATATATACATATACGAGGGTTGTCCAGATAAACGAAAACTTTTTTTAACAATTCAAATACTACTCAACCAAAACTACTTATTTTTTTACATGCTGTTGGAAAATGATCTTTTTTATTTTGACAAAATATTATAGGCCTGTAATGTCAACAGCATATAAAAAAGCAACCTTAGGGTGTTAAATGTGGGTATGACTTTTTCATATAGCATTGTCAAGGAAGTTTTCTTTGTTAAGATATTGTACAGAAATATGATTTTCCTATATTAATACTCCATAATTTGGTGTACCATGCTCAAAATTTTATTTATTTGTCATCATTAATGATAAATGAATGAATATACGATGATGTGTGCCAAAGCACTTCAAACAGAATCTAGTTAGAATGGTGATGTTAGATGTTGGAACACAAAATTTTCACTTTTTTAGAGGCATAGATTCGAGAACAAATTCAAAAACGATACAAGCTAGCTGATTTCATTAGATCCGTTTACCTGAGAGGAAAGTGTTACTTATACAGATATTTCATTGAATTTTTTAGAGATTTTTAAAAAAAATATTGATTATAATGTTTGCCAATTTTTAATCCTATAATTAAAGCAAAAGATAACGAAAAACGTGACATTTTCCTGAAACAACCCTCATTAAATGTATAATAAACACAAATCAAATTCAGTTGTGAAAAATGTCATCCCGCAATTCTTTTAGCTCTGGTATTTTACTTAAAACATCATATACAAGGCGCATGGTAATACCACTCTCAATAAGGTATTCCTTAGGACAAGTCTCCAGTTTTTCCTTCATCCTTGAGTGTGCAAAAGCTGGAATTCCCTCTTTAAGCATTAAAAACACTTTTGCCACACCTTTTTCCAAACCAATGATACCAGGACTACCAGAGGCCCCGTGAGTTGTAGTTTTAGAGCAGTGAAAATGTACTTTTCTCTCATTACATGCATAATCATAACTATTTCTGATCATTTCTGGATCCTCATCTGGAAAATTTTTTTTCCACCACTTAACGGCTTTGTAGTGAGTTTCCCATACTTCAGTATCTGAAAGCAATGGACATTCACTGTCTAATCTTTGCCCATTTCCATGCACAGATGGATGTGCAATGATGTAGACATTTTCTGGTTGATTGCCCCATATATCCAAAGTAAACTGTTTTGGTAGAGATAATTCTGAACAGTTAAGTTCTAGCAAAGCCACATCATCTGCCTCTGTTTGACTAAAGAATGGGATGTCAATGTTCAATGTATATTTTGAACTGTAGTCTTCATTTGTCATGTAACCAAAATATACATACATAAGGTTGCTCTGGATAAATTCCATTGCTTGATCTACAAAACAAGAGGACAATAGGTCACATAACTCACATGAACAATATGGCTATAAAATGCTTAGACTAATAACTTAAGAATTTTTCTTAAGATTTTTTTTCCTATATAATAAGTTTATCTTCTATTTTGGACCGGTCACGGTAGCCTAGTGGTAGAGCGTTCGCTTCGTGATCGGGAGGCCCGGGTTCGATTCTCGTTGGCGGCGCTGCGTCATACCTAAGACGTAAACAAAGGTAGTGACTGTTCCTTCGCCAAGCGCTCGGCATTAGAAGTGAGAGTCACGGGTCTTTCGGATATGACCTTAAAAACGTAGGTCCCGTGTCACGGTAGGCGCTGGCACGATAAAGAACCCTCACTGCTCAATGGCCCCGAGTGCCGAGTATAGGTCTAAATTTGAAGCCCTTCACCGGCATATGGTGAAGTCTCCATATGAGTGAAAAATTCTCAAGAGGGACGTTAAACAATATACAATCAATCAATCAATCAATCTTCTATTTTGGTCTCTATAAGGTCTACACCTTGGGCTCACAAATTGTAAGAATATTAAGTTTGAATCTTTACTACCTGAGGATGTTTCCGTAATAATATGAGTAATTGTGCCTTTGCTCTTCTTGTTAAGATTTTTATAGATCTTTATTTCTTCAGAGGACCATAAAATGTAAATTGTTTACAGACGAACAGACAGCTAGGGGCAGACCGAGAGCTAGACAGAGGACCGACACCTACTATCATATAAGCTGTTCTGGTCTTCGCCCAGTTGGGCTAAAAATGAAAATTTAACACAATCAATGGGTATTGATTGGTTTGTGCTAACCATTGTATGCATAAACATGTAGCAATGATATTCATGAATTAGCAATGTGTCGTATGCACCTTTGATGCCTAAATATAAAATCCGAGTATTTTAAATACATATACACTATCATTCTGTTTATCACTAAAGAATTGACGTGTCTTAATCTTTTCAAAATCTTATATTTAGTACAGGTAGAATACATGTACTAAATTTAAATGTCAAAAAAGGTCTATCTAAAATATTACCTTTTGCAAATAAGAACCCAGTGTCCTTCAATGCACTAAGTAAGTTGCTGATCTTCACATAACCACGACTCTTGGAATTTTCCAGCCATTCCAAAATCCCATTTCTTATTTTCATTTCTACATCAGATCCAGAATCTTTAACATTCAGTTTTTCCAGTAACTTAGCATAATTGCCATTGCGATTTGGGTCTGACTGGGCATTTTTTATTATTTCCAACATGTACATTTCTGGAAGCAAAAGAAATATTTACAACGTTAAGTGAATCCCTCTTGTACACTGTTGTTTAGAAAACAAGATAAAAGAAATTCTTGACAATGCAAATCATGAATTACAGGGTTCGACACTAACGGTAGACCGGCGGCCCGAGTCCACCAAAAAATTGGAAGGTCCACCAAACGTTCTGGGCTAGGTGGACCGTCGGTCTACTTAAAATTTGAACACCATATTCAAAAAACAGTGAAAATTTCAGAGTTTTTTTCCCTTTAAATCGAAATCTGTAACTCAAAATTATTAATTCCTCCATATCTGTATTTTACAAGAAATAAATATACATGTATGTAAATAATGTTACAGGTAATCAGGGTGACCTAGCAACTCGATATATTTTACATGTAAAATTGATAACTCCAATATTAACAATGGAACATTCAACACAGACTTTGAACATGTTGAATAAGAAGCATGAAAAATCCGTGCCAAATTAGCCAGTCTCTCCTCTGTTTACGTAATGCACAGAAAGGTGTGAAAATTACACTGGGTAACAGGAAATCGCTTCACGCCTGAACGCACACTGTTGGAGATAATTAGAATTGATTGACAGCTGCATTTATGCATTGTTTTTTTTTTTAATTTTCTTGATATACATTATATCACTACTTATTTGAATAAACAATAAATTTAGAAAATAATTAATACACATACATGTACCTATGTCAGTTTTGCATCGTAGTAAAAAATATCTAGCCATAGATACATGAAAAATTGAATTGTTTAATCTGTGAACAAATTAATTAATAATTGGAATTTTAAATTTAAGCTACCTTTGGAAGCGAAATAAATGTAGGTTTTCACCATTGTAACTTAATGATAATTATTAAAATATTTTTTGGTTTGTAGATTAATACATTTTTTTTAAGTTTTACAATATTTCAGAAAAAAGTCTGACTAGTCCCTGATTGATTTTTTTTTCTGTTGACTGGTTAGATTTATGCTTTATTAGTCTGACTGGAATCGTTATATATATTTAGTTAGTTTTAATTAATGCCTTGTGTAATGATTCATTAGTTCAAACATTTTTAAAGGTCCACCAGATATCGAGAAGGTCCACCAATAATTTTTGACAAGTGGACCTGTGGTCCACCAAGGTAAAAAAGTTAGTGTCGAACCCTGAATTATATCATACAAGTAACTGAATGAAAAATATCAGACTTCAGAAGCATTGCTTCTTTCAAGTTTAGACCAACTAGAACTGTCCAAACGGGACAAAATACCCCCCGCTGGGTTTTTCAGAAGTAAGTTTTTCCATAATAAATATATGTATCAAAAACAAATTATGAAATTTTTATTCCAGTGACCTTGAACTTCCCCAAATAACCTTGGGTCAAGGCCATGACACACCCTTGGGTCATGGGCAATCTTTCAGTGAAATGAGAACCTACCAAGTTTATCCATAAGAAAGATATGGACCGGATACAAATTATGAAATTTTTCTACCAGTGACCTTGAACTTCCCCAAATGACCTTGGGTCAAGGTCATGACACACCCTTGGGTCATGGGCAATCTTTGTGTGAAATAAGAACATACCAAGTTTATCCATAAGAAAGATAAGGACCGGACACAAATTATGAAATTTTTCTACCAGTGACCTTGAACTTCCCAAAATGACCTTGGGTCAAGGTCATGACACACCCTTGGGTCATTGGCAATCTTTGTGTGAAATGAGAACTTACCAAGTTTATCCATAAGAAAGATATGGACCGGACAGGGAATATAAAAAAAATTTCTTCCAGTGACCTTGAACTTTCCCAAATGACCTTGGGTCAAGGTCATGACACATTCTTGGGTCATGGGCAATCTTTGTGTAAAATGAGAACCTACCAAGTTTATCTATAAAAGATATGTATCAAACATGATTTATGAAAATTTTCTTCCAGTGACCTTGAACTTTCCCAAATGACCTTGGGTCAAGGTCATGACACACCCGTGGGTCATGGACAATCTTTGTCTGAAATGAAAACCTACCAAGTTTATCCATAAGAAAGATATGGACCGGACACGAATTATGAAATTTTTCTTCCAGTGACCTTGAACTTCCCCGAATGACCTTAGTTCAAGGTCATGACACACCCTTAGGTCATGAGCAATCTTAGTGTGGAGTAGTAGATTCTAATGTCCCTCTGTAAGAAAGATATGGACCGGACACGATTGCACAGACAGACGGACGGACAGACAGACAGCTAGACAGACGGACAAGGTGATTCCTATATACCCCCCCAAACTTCATTTGCGGGGGGTATAAAAATTGGACCCATTACATATGTACCAAGGTAAAAAGTGACCAATATTTCAATTTTCACCATGTGTATCATTTTCTGACCATTTTTCTCAACCTTACATCAGCCCCGTGGGGATCCGGGTTAGAATAGGTCCCCAGTACCCCCTTGCTTGTCGTAAAAGGCGACTAAAAGGGGCGGTCCTTCGGATGAGACCGTAAAAACCGAGGCCCCGTGTCACAGCAGGTGTGGCACGATAAAGATCCCTCCCTGCTCAAAGGCCGTAAGCGCCGAGCATAGGCCTAAATTTGCAGCCCTTCACCGGCAATGGTGACGTCTCCAAATCAGTGAAATATTCTGGAGAGGGACGTTAAACAGAATTCAATCAATCAACCTTACATGCCTTAAGGAATGTGCATTTTTATAGGCAACTTTACAAGTTTATTGTGATTTTAAGAATATGATATCTTTTTATAAAAGGAAAAAATGAGTCCATAAAACATATGGATATAACGAACAGTATTCGTTATCCAAAAGTCCATAAAACAATAAAAACAGGAGCAGAGCAAACATCAAAGGTGGGATCAAGATTGTCATGGAGGAGGGCGCATATTCCCTGCCAACCAGTCACATCCGCCGGGTTCTCCTTGTCATAATTGGGAAGTGATGGATATTGATTTTTATTATCAATTAAAATAAGAGGGAGAGAACTTTTACCAATAATGGTCATAAATTAGGACATATCACATCCTTAATGCTAGTAGTAATGAATTGGATTTATGTCAAAATCTATGGAGTATTTAACACCTTCATATATGTTACATATTTAATATCGTTGAATCTGTTGCATTTGGGGGTTGAGTACCTTAAATTAAACGAGTTGACATGAAGAAATGCTAGTGTTCTCAAATGTAAACTAGAACTGTCCAATAGGGACAAATACCCCCCGCTGGGTTTTTCAGAGAAGGTGCCAATTCAAAAATACTTTATGGATCTAGAGGTGTTCACAATTTACTTACAAAAATTTGCAGTGAAATATAATTGCTCATCATGTTTCTTAATGAATGAAACCAAGGTGCAACCAAATGAAACATCAATACTAATACATTGTAATTCCATTGTAACATTTTGAAAAAAAATTTTCATTTTATTTTTTTTTATTACTGCATTAAAAAAATATATTGCAATTATGTGTTATGTCACTCTGCAAACTGATTGTTGAAAAAAAACTATTATACAAAATCAAATTAATCTTGATATATCAATTTGAAATGCATTTTGAAAATAAAGAGCTGGTCATCCAGTAATGAAGTGCTTTGACAGACAATTAATTACAATTAAGAGAATAAGAGAAGAGAGATCTTTAATTCTTGTGCCTTATTCCCTGGAGATAGATAACACACACGCTTGATAAGAGATATGCCTTAACAACTTCCAACACCAAACTCATTAATTTATCTTTAACTGGATGCATGTCCAGTCATTATTCCCAAGAGACAAATGAAATTACAGTATCTTCTGTGCAATGTAAAAACTGTTTTTAACACTTGATGATGTTTCTTTTTTTAAGTTTTTATGAGTAGTTTTAAGCTGTAGTATTTTTGAACAGATATTCTAGATTCTATATCTCAAACCTTATACATGAGCGCTAAATGAAGAAGTCAATTAAAATAAATCAAAGTACTGAAAGTACTCATGGGAGTTGAACATGGTGAAAATACAATCTTTGATCGGGAGGTTAAGTGAGTGAACAATATTACATGTATTAATTATTATATTGTCTGTATTTTCAAATACGGACAACTGTTTCCAATTTTTTTAGTTGGAACAATCTTGATCGAGAAAGACATTCAGAGACATTGAATAGCCAAAAGATTCATGGGCCATAATGCTTGCCTGCCTACATTAGTCCTTTTTTTATACCCCCTGCTTGAAAAGCGGGAGGGAATTTTTTAATCGTGATTTCTGTCCATCTGTTTGTTACACTTTAGGTATATATACCCATCTCTTATCCGCAACTTCTCAAACACCACTGAACAAAATTTTCATAGAATCTTTATTACATATTGCCATTGTACTTCTATTACTTTTTCATCCTACACATATTTTGGGTTTCCCATTGCAAAACATGCACACTGTCATTATATTCATATTAGAGGTGGTTGATCATTTATATCACTGCTCACAGTCTTCAAATTTATAATATATTTTTCCTTTGCACCTTTACCTATGTGTTATGAAAATTTCAGTTTCGCAGGAATAATATCAATGTTGATAAAATGTGGATTTTAACACAGCATCCTTTTAAGAGCTAACAGGTTTGTTGTATAAAAGTTCTCTGTGAATAAAAATGTATTTCAATTACACGAATATTATACATGGAGTACATCAGAACTTAATCTTTTTTTAATATTGTGAAAAGAGCAATACCAAGTTAAAAACAAATGTTTATTGAAAAAAAACATAAAACAGTGGTATATGCGAGAGTTTGTGTGCGTACACATTATCTGGTATGTAAATGAGGTTTTTATTTTATTAAAAATATATACTTCATTTTGCTGTTTTTAATCGCGATTTTACAAAAACATCGGTGTCTGTTTTTGGTATTAATATTTATAACAGAGTACTAGTTTTACCGCCTTTGGCAGGTGATACTGCTTATTAAGTAATAAATACGCATGTTTCCTAAAGTTTTTATGCATTACAGTCCCTGAAACGTTCTACTTTCCCACCT